TGATGGAGCTACGATTGGAAAAATGCGACAAGCGTCGAATCAGGCACTCGTGCTATAGTATCATAACAATTTCTCAAGCCACTACACTACTGAGGATTCGGAGGCTTTAAGGAGCGATAAATTTAGGCATTTGGTATCATCAGTGGCTTATGACGATGCTAAAATTGAGTTCAACAGTGAAGGTGAGCGTATCAATGTCGCCTATGACGTACTCAATTATGTGCACGGCAGCTTCCGCGTTATTGGTCATTTGGTTAGTCGGGGCTTTTTTTATTAATTAATTATATTAATAACTTTGAAATATTCAGTTTCTAATCACTGTAACCACATTTTACCACTTTTCTCGATGAATGCAAGATTAATTTTAGGCACAATTCGAATGGTAAATTTTATCTTCAACTTAGGCATTTTATCCTCACAACTACGTGCTTTCCGTTTATACTTTGGAGCTGAAACGAGAACACCGTGTGTACAAAAATTGCATACTTTTCAATTCCAAACGAATTTTATTTTATTTTACTTTCTAATTTTCCTCTGTCATCACTCAGAATTTTCTTCAACACATTACATCTCGATCATTTTGTTTTAACATTTCAAAATCTCTATTTTGTCTTCAGTTTTGACAAGTTCGAACAAGTTTTATTCTCACCCTCGCCAGTTTGACTCGATTCCAATTTTCTCTTGCAGAGTTCGGAAAACGTATTGGATCTGCAAGAATCGCAAATAGTTTGGCTTGGCGATTCGTCAAAACCAGCAGAAATAACGCTTCCGAAACACCTGCGCGCAGTGGCCGTCGTGGACGCACCGTTTGTGTATGCAGTCTCAGAAACCGAAATGGAAAGCTGTGCAGAACTTAGATCGCTTGTAATTGAGGACATTGATGTGGTAAACTCTGCCCCCTTGGCTATTCTGAAACTTAATTATTAAGGCACGACAAGCGCTGAATTTTTCATGGTATAATTAAAGGTCTTCGCAGAGCTGCGTTGTAAGTGTTCTAGGCCGGACCGTGGTACGACTGCCCAAAACGCATCAATAAAACTGTTGTCGAGAAATACTGCTGTGCGGGATATGCACTTGATTTGCTCTCTAACTTATCTCTCCTAGAGGTAATTTTTTATAAATTTATAACTAGATGTGCATGAACTAAAGTAGAAATACTGCAGATTAAACTGTACCTTCCTGTAAATTTACAAATAATCCAGAGGCACATCATTAGCTTTCGAATAAAGATAGGTGCACCATACTGTGTTTTCAGTGCCATGGTGATACTTAAATGAGCCTCTTACCAGGTGTTTTTCGTCGCCGCATTTTTCCTCGCTATCATTGCAGCTGGCAATTTCTCCATTCTTTCTCATTCTGAGCTCAACGCATTTCATAACACCAAACAGGTTTAGAAAACTAGTCTTCCCAGCTTGCAGCGAAAACCTTTTGAATGCTTGCGTGAGACAACAAGTTAAAAGCCGAACATCTCCATTTTCACTAAAAACAGAGCAAAGAGAGGCACTTAAAAGTAGTCTGAATGATAGTACGAGTAAGCAACAACGGATATGCTAGCTGTCGATGGCCTCCTCTTTCGACGTTTTTTCAGAAATAAACTTTTGGCAGTGGCATTGCAAAATATATGTTAAATATATTTTACAGCGTTACTACTATCACTGAAAAATGCATTTCAAATTATTGACCCTCGAAATGAACACATTTTCAGAT